TGAAAGGTGTTACTCATGGTGCATGTGATTATCTGATCAAACCGGTGCGCATTGAGGCATTGAAGAACATTTGGCAGCATGTGATTCGTAAAAAGAAGCATGAGTGGAAGGACAAAGATTTTGATCAATCAGCAACGGCGGAAGCGGGAGATCGACAGCAGAAACCACCAGAAGATGTTGATTATTCATCTTCAGCTAATGAAGGAGGGAACTGGAAAAGCTCAAAGAGAAGAAAGGAGGAGGAAGATGAAACTGAAGAAAGGGATGACTCGTCCTCGTTAAAGAAGCCCCGTGTGGTTTGGTCAGTTGAGCTTCATCAACAGTTTGTACAAGCTGTTAATCAACTTGGAATTGACAGTATGGACTATTTACTTCTCTTGGCTATATGTTTATCTTCATATTTCCCTAGGTCTATGGTTCCATATTGCTCAGAACTTAGGTTAAAGGCGAAAAGCATATAAAAGTACTGTTTGTTGATGCCTCAAGCGCAAAGCTATGAAAGCGTGAGCTTTGCAAAGAAAGGCGCTACTGAAGAAAAAGAAAAAAAAAAGATTATATTGACAGTGCCCAAAAAAGAAACATGAATGCAAACAATAATTATTTGGACAAATGAATTGAAAAAGAACTATAATTAAGTGAATTATATGAGGTAAAATTCATTTCAAGTTTTTCGGTTTTTAGTGACTAGTGCTTTTACACTAAATTACTAATTTCCTACTCTTAGTTACCAAAACAAAAAAAAACAAAAAAAAGAAATTCATCCATAATCTTTTTAAGAGTTAATAACGCTTTGTCAACTAGATTTATTGTCTCGTGATGCCTTCTTAAAGACGAGCCTTTGGCCGATGAGGCATATGCCTTAGTGCCTTGGTGTCTACACTGAAGCGCCGCCTAAGCAAGGCAAAGTGCCGAACCTGGGCTTCGCCTAGTGTCAAGCGAAACTGTCTGATGTATTATCTTTTCCTTATTCTTTGTGCTGGGATTTTTTCAATATTTACATGACGTTAATCTTCTCTTTTTGGATATTTATTTATCCCTTTGATATGTTAACATATTCTCTGTTGTTGTATCTTCACGACTCCCCCTTTTGAATACTTCTTTCACTAGGATCTACGTTTATAGAAAGATTTTCCCTGTTATTCCGTGTTATTTGATATTTGTGGCAGGGAAATTCGGTAGAAATGCTTGGCATTATACCTGGTAAAAAGAGTTCTTACCAGTTGAGTTAACCCTTGGCCTAGCCTAATTTCTGCCTTATTTTATTGCTTCTCTCTTGTTCCCGGTTATTGGGGGTTGGAGGGTGGAGAAACCTCATTCCAGTAATACATACTAATCGATAAAGCTATGAATTCCTCATCAACAGAGTTAGTCGTTGAACTGAGTTCCTAGCTCCTTATGAACAGTTTATTCAATTACACTAAAGCACACATATGTTTAAGTTAGTACTCAAATTATGTTTTAGATCGGTGCTCAATTGATAGTGTAAAGTCACTATTATTTCAAGTGGTTAGACTTGGAGATGGAAAATTTAGTTGTAAGAACATGGATCAAGTAAAACCTCGGACAGGCTAAATTGGGAAGTGGTTCAAGAAAATTGGGAATGGGGGAGCAAAGAGGAAACTGTGATATAGTCCAGTTACAATTGTGTGAGGCTTAGTTCAAAATTTTCTAACTTTCCTTCAGCCAAATTGCTTAGTCTAACTGTATTGCTGTGTCTTTTACCTTAGAATGTGTTTTGCTGAATTGGAAAAACAATGTTTACCTATATTCTGGATACTTACTCATTTATTATTCATTTCTAATTCTGGCTATGATTTCAGAGGCTGTTCCCAAGAAAATTCTCGAACTGATGAATGTTCCTGGGCTAACCAGAGAAAACGTTGCTAGCCACCTTCAGGTACTGAGGAACTTTACTTCCTCCCTTTTCAAGTTGATTAGTGGAAGACTTAGGGTGTGTTTGGTACGAAGGAAAATGTTTTCCTAGAAAATGTTTTCATGGAAAATGAGTGATTTTATCACTTATTTTCCCTTGTTTGGTTCGTGGGTGAACACTTTTTTCCGGAAAATATTCTTTTTGTTGCAATAAAAGAAAATACTTTTTACTACATCATTTTGTTGAAATGAAAAAAAATATTTCTTCTATATCATGAAAAGAAAGTACTTTTTTTGTTAAAATGAAAAAAAATACATCGTGAAAAGAAAATATTCATTTGTTGAAATAAAAAAAATACTAGAAAAGAAAGTACTATTAATAATATTTCTATTTAGGGTGGGGTGGGGCGAGGGTGGGTTGGTAGGGGATGGGGAATGGGGGAAGGTTGGAATAGAGTTTTGGAAAATGTTTTCCCTTCTCTTGATAGGGAAAACATTTTCCTCCAATTGGAGGAAAGTGAGTTCACGAGGAAAATGTTTTCCAAAGCATTTAAGTCAACCAAGCATGGGAAAATTGGGAAAATGTTTTCCTTCATACCAAACACACCCTTAATCTTTGTTTTGTAACATGTACTTAATAACATTTCTCGGATTTCCTAGTAAAGCACTTATTAGTGGTAATCATGTATCGCAGAAATACCGGCTGTATCTCAGGAGGTTGAGCGGTGTATCACAGCATCCGAATGGACTAAATAACTCTTTCATGGGGCACCCGGAAGCAACATATGGAATGTCTTCTTTCAATGGGCTTGAGCTTCAAGCTTTAGCTGCCACAGGTCAACTACCTGCGCAAAGTCTTGCTACCCTCCAAGCGGCTGCATTGGGTAGGTCTGCAACAAAAGCTGCTATATCTATGCCTCTAGTAGATCAAAGAAACCTTTTCAGCTTTGAAAATCCCAAGTTGAGATTTCCCGAGGGACAGCAACAACTAAATAATAGCAATAAGCAAATTAACTTGCTTCATGGGATACCAACAACCATGGAACCGAAGCAGCTTGCAGATCTGCACCAGTCCTCGCACTCGCCGTCCTTTGTGGCTATGAATATGCAAGGGAACTCCAGAGTGCAGCAAAATAACACTCTACTGATGCATATGTCTCAACAACAACAACAACAACCGTCTAGGGCTCAAATGCTAAATGAAACCAATAATGGTAGTCAAGTTTCGCGGCCTCCATTGTCCATGTCACAACAACCTTTGTCGTCAAATGGTATACCTGGTGCAGTCTTATCACGGAGTGGTGGTATTGTTGCCAATGTACGAGGGCCTGTATACAGTCCAGTCTCCCAAGCATCTCCTATGGTAGATTTCTCGCTGAACCAAAACACGGAGTTGCAAAACAACAGCTTTCCTCTTGTGAGTAGTGATTCGGGGATGTCAACTATGACATCCAAAAGAATGCTTCAGGAAGAGGTTAACTCTGATATTAGACGATCTAGAGGATTCCCTTCTGATTATAATATGTTTGATGAACTGCATCCGCAAAAATCACAAGATTGGGGTTTATCAAGTGTTGGCTCAACCTTCAACGCCTCTCATCATTCAACTATACCAGGAACCCTAGATATCTCACCGTCCATGCTAGTTCAACAAGGTATTTCTTCAATGAAGAGGAATGGACAAAATGGGATTTCTCCTATAAGCAACGCTTTCTCTAGCAGGGAGGAAAGTGGAAATGTTAATCCTATGGGTGGAAATTTGCTTACTGTTAAAGCTGAACAACTTCCTGATGCGAGCTACCAAAGTAGCTTTTTTCCAGACCAATTTGGACAGGATGACCTCATGAGTGCCCTTCTGAAGCAGGTTAGTCCGAGTTTCTTGTCCTTCAGAATTTTCATTGTAGCGATGACATTATTTTTACTAACTTGAAATTTTATGAATTTCCAACAGCAAGAAAGTGTTGGACCAGTTGAAACTGAGTTTGGCTTTGATGGATATGCACTGGACAATCTTCCTGTGTAAGACGTGAAAAGAGTTTAGGTTACGGTAGCTTACACTGTGAACATATATTTCATAGTCACTACTGTATATAGTTGTCTTTACAGCTGAAAAATGACTACTGGGAAACCAAAACGCTGGAGTTTAGCTCGCTGTTCCAATTCTTGATGTTGGATTCTTGTTTGGCTGCATCTTCTCGTCTGATTCTTGATTCTTGTGGAATTAGAGCAAATATTGAACTGGAGTCGGATGACAAGTATGAAGGGTAATTGTGTATGATACTTCTGCATGATAATATGCAAAGGCATATATGCAAAGTTTTGACTGCTATATAGCTAGGTGATTTTAGGACTATTGCACATCCTACAAGTAATTTGTGGAAGGTGTCCTGTTTGTGGGGTGCAACGCGTTGGTGTAGGGATTTTCTTGAATGGTCGGATTTCTTTACTAACTGAAATAACCCGATTTTATGTTACATATTTCACTTTCAGAAGTTGATCTTGATGTACAGATTAAATTTGGATTGCCATAGAGTGCAACTCTCTGGGATTCTTTTAGTTGCTCATTTAGCTGATATTCTTTTGCTTCCTTTCATGTTTTTAATTTTTTGTATGAGCAGTTTAGAAATTGGGACCTCAGTTTCTGTTTGTTAACAACATATTCTTTCTAAAGATTAACTTTAACTTGGATTCAGCTAATAAAACAAAAAATGTGAAGGTTTGTGTTATTCAATATATAGTATTTATAGACAGGAAGATCCATCTAAAGACTACATTTACTTTTAAATGTTTCTAAGTTGCAGTTTTCATTGTACAAGAATTTTTCCAAGTGATGAAATCCAGATCTAGATTTTCCTCTCATTTTTTAAATCAATTTGGTAAGATCTAAATTTCACTAGCAGTGAAGCAAATTGATTATTACCTAAAAGAGTACAACTTTAAATATAAAACACCGAGTACATAATAATCCCTTTCATTTTCCAATATCAATCTGATCTATTGTCTTCTTTTCTCCAAAAGATCAAATTTTCGCCAAAACCATACTTAAGGTTGTTGCATAAATCATCGTTAAAACAGTTCTACACCTTCCACAACACACAGATCAAATAAGTAGTTAGCATATCCATGACTTGTAATTAAAATATTATAAAATTATAAATTAAATTTAAAATGTAGAGCTCTCAACTTGATTAAGCTCCTTCTTGATCATTCAACTCATACACTAACTCACTCACTTAACCAACTCACAAATGGCACTACTTTTACAGCCACTACAATTTTTTCTTTCATGTTTTCATATGGTCATTTCGGATTGAAACATAATTATTGTACTTGTTACAAAAAGAGCCACAAGAAAGAGCCATCAATAAAAATGCTGCTTGTTCTACTTCTCCCAACTTCCTCTTCTGAGTAGAACTTGATCTTGGTCTCTGCAAAATTACTTCTCTTCCAAAAGGAAATACTTTCCTTTTCAATGAAGAAACAGTTTTCTTCCCAAAATTATTGCTTCTACTATCTTCACTGTTGCTACTACTGTTACAACTTTGGTGCTGTAGTCCAATGCTTTTGTTTCCAAATGCCATTGATTTCTTTGGTTTCTTGTCTTCTTTGTTCAACCCCAGAAGCGCTCTTATCTTTTTCCTGCTTTTAATCCCACAGGCATTACATAGTGACTGCATCCAGAATGATCAATATCATCAAATTCAAGTTCAAAAAGCCAAAAGTACCAAAATAACCATAATCACTCTACTCAAATGAGTTATCGTTCATTTTACACAACTATTACTCTCTCCGTTCTATTTTATATAGGGATTGTTACACAAATAGCCGGCCAGATTCAAGGTTTACTTTTTCTAGCCGATATACATAGATTATACAATAATTATACACAGTTATACATGTATTATAATACATTCAACGGCTATTTTTAATTTAACAGATTAAGTGGGCGGCTATTTGCGTTAATTCTTCTTTTATATATTTGTCATAATTTTGCATTTTTAATCTATTCCAAAAATATGACACCTTTCTAATCCTAAAGACAGAATGCTTACTCTTAATAAAATAGTAGCATGTTTAATACTACAAGTTCCAATAGCATTTTTTGAATATATTAAAAGTATTTCTTCCTTTCAATATATAACTTCATTCACAAAACACCATATAAAATGAAATAGAAAGTGTACTAAATCAAGAATCAAACAACTATTTAAAGAAAGGACAAACCAGTGCCCAAAGCATCCCGCACTCACGCGGAGTCTAAGGAAGGGTCATACCCCTAGAGATTTGATGTAGACACACTAACCTAATATAAGCATTAGTGAGAGCTTTTACAATTATGTGATGTATACACTCTACCATAATACAAGCATTAGTGACTAACTTTCAAAGCGTAAACCAGTAAGCTAAAGGTCACACATAGACAACTTTAATATCGCTCCAAGCTCCCCTTCAAAATCAAACATCTCTTATTCAACTAAAATTACTTCATGAAATTTAATATACATTTTTAGTTCTTAGTAATAGTTATGATTTTGTAATCTTATTGATAACTATGATGTTTGAGCCAATTTGATCGCGCCTAACTTATATTTAACTACTTACTTTATAACTTGTAATTTTTAAAACATGATTTATTTTCCTTTTATAAAAATTAGATAAAAATTGAAATTACAAAGAGCTACACTAACCTTGGGACCAGCAGGTCCACCTCTCCAAAGAGGAGTTTTAGTTGTACCACAATCAGCACAAGTCTTAACATCACTCCTTTCTGGTGAAGAAATTTCACTACTCATTTCTTCAGATCTTATACTCTGCAACAAGAAAAAAATTCCAAATCAAACACAAATACACGTATAGAATAACTCAGATACAAGCTATAAACAAAGTAATTAAACGAGAATAATTAACGATCACTCACCTTATCACTTAAATCCACCATTTTAGATCACCTAATCAAAAGACCCAAAATTTTCTTAATTCTACTATAAGCTCAAGAAACTAGAAATAAACAGTTTGAAGAAATGCGGGATTTGTTATGAAGATAAGAGAAGAGTGAACTGGGCGATCAGGCGGGGGAAAAAAGAAGCGGTGGGGTTTATAAAGGAGGAGACGAAAACCCTAGGTACGCGGGAGTTTGAAAAGACGAAAGTGTCCTTGATTTGAGAACCTTTTTCAGTTTTTACCCGCCAAAAGAGTTGAGCTTTAACTGAAAAGGGCGCCAATTAATTTTTAGGGTTTGGAGCTATTTTGGGAATTGTATTTAACTGCACACAAATGTCATAATTAAAAGGTCAAAAGAATAAACTCTTTCTTCTTTCTTTTCCACAAAAGCAAAACAAAACAAAAAAATGGAAAAGAAAAATGAATTTAAGCCGACCCTTGAGTAATCTTTCATGTATTTTATGAGCTTTTTTTATTTGCCCGAAATAGAAAGATCAATGTACATTGGTTTCAAAATGTACATATGGTGGTGGAGTTTACATTAGGTTATGGTTTAGCTTTTTGAAAAATTGATTTCAAAATGCTGGTGAAATAATTCTGAGAAGTAATTGTGTGTTTATTTTTGGCTTTCCATCCGGTATTTAATAATCATATTGCAATCTCGATTAATTTAGATTTGCTCCACGTAAGACTCATTCATTAAAAAATCTTCCTATCAGATTTTTTCATTCTTAGGGCTCGAACACACAAACTCTGATTAGGGTGATTTGCACAAATAGGACACTTCGGTGCCACTATTGATTCTTTAACCCGTCATGCGATATGGGAGAACTTTATATTTAATAAGTATTGCTCCTCGCTTGCCCTATGAGCAATACTTTTGACTTTTGACCCTATTTGTTCATGGGGCAAACAGATGTCAAAAAATCAAGATCATCCATTTTTAAAGTCATTAGATGTAATTTTCTGCTCTAATTATGGACGGAGGGATCTTATCTTCCCACCACAACTTTTGGCGGTAAGTACTAAGTATAGTTGTCTATTTGTTTAGTTTTGTAATTGTGTTTGGAATAGTTGATCAGATCTATTTGTATTTTGTATATGAGATCGCTCAACTCAGATCATATGAATTAAATATATGAGATTCAAACAAAATCATACTTAGACACCTCGCAGGAAGACATCTTTTCTTTTTCTTCCTTCCTTTCTTTAATTTTTATATTTTATATCTTTCTTTTACCTTTTGTCTTTTCTATGTTCAACATAATTTTAATTTTAGAGTGTCATGTTATATTTTCAGTAAAAACAAAATGAGGTGAGATTTACTTTATATAGTTAATGATGTCAAAGTTGGATGACTTTTATGTACTAGAAAAGTGACTTTAGTGTGATAAACTTTAAACTGAATGAATTTTATAATTAAAAAAATGACTTTTGTGTAACAAATTCAAAGTTAAATGATTATCGATGAAATCACTTAAATTTAGATAGTTGTACCTAATATTGTAGACCAGGAAAAAACAAAAAGTTAAAGTATTTTAGTATTATTCAAGAAATTAAAACAAATGAATAATGTTCGAAAGAGTAGGGGGAAAACTACTCCATTGTGGGACAAACTATAGCAGTAGAAATAAAACAAAGGAACAACATTTTGGAAAGAACAAAAAAAGAAAAACAAAACTTTGGGACAAACAAAGAATGGGTCTTCCTCTATATGATACCAAAAAGAAACAAAAAAAGGAAAATACTCACAATGCAACAACTTGTCACGAGAAAATATTGTAAATGCCAAATGCTAAGAGTAATTTGCATCTCATATCCACATCCAAATGCCAAGTGCTCAAGGGGAAAAAAGCAAAAAAAAAATTTTAGCATTACATATTTAACACAAAGGCCCACTTTTGTTAGCTAGACATTAATTCAATCAACACACCTTATAAATAGAAAATTTCCACCAGTCCAAAAAAAAAAAAAAAAAAAAAAGGAAA